AGATCAATATACATGTGTTTTGCAATTTCTTTAGATTTAAACGATTTAAATTTTTCAAAAAATTTAAATTTCATCCAAATGAAAATTCAAAGATGAAATTTGTATTTTGACAGATGCACCAAACAATGTGTTTTGAAATCTCTCAAAGGTCAAATTGAATGTTTAAACGATTTAAATTTTTTGAAAAATTTAAATTGCTTACAAATGTAACAAAATGTATACAAGTGTATTTTGGCAGATAAACAGCATCAGACAATGTGTTTTGAAATCTGATATAGCGCTTGATATTACATTTAGAAGCAATTTAAATTTTTTGAAAAATTTAAATCGTTTAAATCTCACTCTATTTGATCTCTGAGAGGTTTCAAAACACATTTTGATGTTCTCTATTACATATATAGTACTTGATTTTACATTTTTTATCTTTTTAAATTTTTTGAAAAATTTAAATCGTTTAAATCTCACTCTATTTGACCTCTGGGAAGTCTCTAAACACATTGTATGATATTCTCTATCTGTTGCAATCTATATAGTACTTGATTTTACATCAATTTAAATTTTTCAAAAAATTTAAATCGTTTAAATCTTACTTAATTTGACCTTCTTTCAAAACACATTGTATGATGTTTTCTATCTGTCGAATACATATATAGTACTTGCTTTTACATTTGGAAGCAATTTAAATTTTTTGAAAAATTTAAATCGTTTAAATCTTATTTGGCCTCTGGGAAGATTCTAAACACATTGTATGATGTTCTCTATTTGTTGCAATACATATATAGTACTTGATTTTACATTTGGAAGCAATTAAATATTTTGAAAAATTTAAATCGTTTCAATCTTACTTAATTTGACCCCTGAGAGGTTTCAAAACATATTGTAATGTTCTGTATCTGTCACAATACATATTTAGTACTTGATTTTACAGTTGGAAGCAATTTGAATTTTTTGAAAAATTTAAATCGTTTAAATCTCACTATTGACCTCTGAGAGGTTTCAAAACACATTGTATGAAGTTCTCTATCTGTCACAATGCATATGTAGTACTTGATTTTACATTTGGAAGCAATTTAAATTTTTTGAAAAATTTAAATCGTTTAAATCTTACTTAATTTGACCTCTGAGAGGTTTCAGAACACATTGTGTGATGTTCTCTATCTGTCACAATACATAAATAGTAATTGATTTTACATTTGGAAGCAATTTAAATTTTTTGAAAAATTTAAATCGTTTAAATCTCACTCTATTTGACCTCTGAGAAGTTTCAAAACACATTGTATGATGTTCTCTATCTGTCGCAATACATATTTATTACTTGATTTTACATTTGGAAGCAATTTAAATTTTTTGAAAAATTTAAATCGTTTAAATCTCACTCTATTTGACCTCTGAGAGGTTTCAAAACAAATTTTATGATGTTCTCTAAATACATATGTAGTACTTGATTTTACATTTGGAAGCAATTTAATTTTTTTGAAAATTTTAAATCGTTTAAATCTTACTTAATTTGACCTCTGAGAGGTTTCAAAACACATTGTATGATGTTTTTTATCTGTCACAATATATATGTAGTACATAATTTTACATTTGGAAGCAATTTAAATTATTAAAAAAAATTAAATCTTTTAAATCTCACTCTATTTGACCTCTGAGAGGTTTCAAACACATTGTATGATGCTCTCTATATCTCACAATACAAATATTGTACTTTGATTTTAAATTTTGGAAGTAATTTAAATTTTTTGAAAATTTAAATCGTTTAAATCTCACTTTATTTAATATTTGAGCGATTTAAAAAACACATTGTTTGATGATTTCTATTTGTCAAAAAAATATAGCCCTCGATTTTTAAAAGAAATTAAATTGTTTAAGTGATAATTTATTTGACCTTAAAGAGATTTTGGAACATAAAGTTTTATGTTCTCCAATTTACACAAATTCAATTACCTAAAAAACATTATTCTGAATGAAAATCCCAGTCAAAATCTTATCTCATTTCATCAAAAATTGGACGGAAGACCCACTCGTTGCTCGCAACGAGATCGTATCTAGTTATTATTATTATTTTTCTTCTTCCTGGGTACTTTTTTGTCCGGGAGTGATCTTGTAAACTACACATCCGACTTAGGTAAAACCTTTTTAGGGTCAGTAGGCATGTTATGTAGATTTGCGGAACGAAGGTCATTTTGCGCGCACGTGCTTGCAAGAGCGTGCACGTGCAACATGTAAAATGACCGATTTAATTGATATAGGCGTAACTTTTCACAATTTTCATGAAATGCTTTGAAACTCATAATATAAAGATGTATTAGTAGCATAGACAATATGACATGGTCAAAATAGCAAGATCTCATGTGCATGCACGTGCCCTTCGCTCTGATTGGCTGAAACAAAAATCTCAAAATCTTCTCTGTTTTTTGACGAAATGCTTTGAAATTTAAAACTTAGGCATGCTATAAGATATCCTACAATAAAGTATATAAGAATTTTCCTCATATCACGTGCATGCACGTGCGCTGCAATCTGATTGGCTTAAACTTTAAATGGCTCTAACTCCCTTGTTTTTCAACCAAACAGGATGGGATTCGGAACATAGATAGATAAAATGGAGCTCTACAGGTATGGTCACCATACACATGCATACAGGTGCGTGTACATGTGCTGCAATCTCATTGGTTGAAACTTTAAACAGCTATAACTTCCTTGGTTTTTAACCAAACGGGGTGGGATTTAGAACATAGATAGATGTAATGGACTTCTACAAGAAGGTATGGTCACCATGCTCATGTATGCACGTGCGTGCACGTGAAATGACTAAAATAAAAAATACACTTGAATGAGCTTATTTTTTAATACTTTTGGATTAAATACTTTAATATTTAGTATATTAAAATATATATAGATTCTGTAGACAATATGACATGGTCATTACGTTATGCATTCACACGCGCACGCGTGCAATGCTAAAATTTGAATGAACTTGGTACACTTCTGGGTAAACGTTGTTAAAGTCTCAAATGCATAGAGTTTGTCTTATTTATTGAAGCTTACAGGGGATATGGCACCAAAACGGAGTTTGAGAGCGTTTGGGGAACATCTGTAACGGTCCCCGTTACAATTAGCACTAGTTTGTGTTTTGTTTTTGTTCATTTTAAACCCTCCCCCCTCTCTCTCTCTGGATTCTTTCTTTACATGTGACATGATCTACTTTGAATACTTCTTTTCGACAGGCATTTATGTCTACTGTTCAACCCAATTCATGTGTAAATAATAAAATCTTTAAACCAAACCCAATTCTATCTATGCAAAATCCTGGATCTGCTCCCGTGGTGAACCTCCATGGTTTCCTATAAAGCTGTGAGCAACAGAGACACCATTGACCAAAATGAATTTGCGGATAGATTATCAAGAAAAAAAATACATTCCGTAACAACCTTCCCCGGAAAACGAACGGAAAAATAAAACCCACAATATTCTTGAGTGGGTATCTCTTTGTGAAATTTGATATTTAAAAATTCCTAATGCGTCATTCAATTCTTTTGTATGCATGAAATTTTTATTATAAGAAAAAAAAGAGCCTGCTGGAAAAGCTCTCAATAGTCCCACTAAAGCCTTATTATTTGTCAAAAACTTTGACAGTTGCAAATTATTTCATAAATCCGACATATACTAAGATTTTTGATTTGATCTGGCTTTCGTAGATTGTATACATTTCAAATTTTGTCAAAAATAGTAATTTGTTTTAACAAATTAATAATCTGTTATAACAAATTAATGATTTGTTTAAACAAATTAGTAATCTGTTATATCAAATTATTAATTTGTTATAACACACTCAAATTACTAATTTGTTTTAACAAATTACTAATTTGTTATAACAAATTACTCATTTGTTTTGACAAATCATTAATTTGTTATAACAAATTATCAATTTGTTTAAACAAATTATTAATTTGTTATAACAAAATATCAATTTGTTATAACAAATTATCAATTTGTTATAACAAATTATCAATTTGTTATAACAAATTATCAATTTGTTTTAACAAATTATCAATTCGTTTTAACAAATTATCAATTTGTTTAAACAAATTATTAATTTGTTATAACAAATTATCAATTTGTTATAACATATTAATAATTTGTTTAAACAAATTAATAATTTGTTATAACAAATTAAAAAAAATACTTCTGCGGCCCTAATACGCTTCCGTAATAATGCAACTCTTTTGTCTCTGTAAGCTTTATTTAAATATATAGTTATATACAAAGATGAACGAAAACTATTAAAAAAGAATCTAAGAATGAATCATTAACATTGTAAAAGGCTTTAAGATGTTTTCTTGTTTAATTATATGAATGTGAATGTAAGCGAACAAGGTGATGAAAATACTTATAGAGCGCGACAAATTAGAAGGCGAAAAATTGAATTGAATAATAAAATTGTCTTAGTTTGATATTTCATCCAACATATTGTCATATTGTAATTTTTTAATTTACCAACTGGTAGTAAATACAAAAATTACAAGTTTTGATATTGTATTTTTTCCTGATATACTTTATTTTATCAAATAAAATATACAACATATACTACCACCCGGTAAATTTAACATTTACAAAATGACAATATTAATTCGTACATATATATTTAATAACATCTCTCAATTTACAAAAATCTCAAACAGACTAAAATTATTTGTCTACGACATCAAATACGTAGAAAACCAAGGACAAAAAAGAATTTCAACTCAGCATTTTTAACTTCTTAAATTCACACAATGAATATGATACAAATCTATGACATCTGAAGCTATGGGCTTTCTGCCATGTTAACCAATTTCATTTCTGTAAATATATGTATTCTAACAATTTCTACATTTATTTATATTTTTCAAACAATTATTTATTAATCTATTTTACTACATATATGTCTTTATCAAAACAGAAAAGTTCATAAAATAATTCTGAAATACGAATACAAAGATATTTTCTTTAAAAAAAAAAAACAGATGTGTTCACAAATAACACTTTTAATACTTCTTGCAGAATTAAATGCTGATGGAATTCGGGATTTCCTCCGGTAGAAGATATTCATACCCTCTCTCCAGCTTTTCGTTTCTTTCATGAATCTTTGAACTGATATTTTTCAGATCTTTTCTGAATCTGTAAAAAAAATAAACATTCTCAATTTTTTTTTAATATATCTTTTGAAACATTGTATGTTGTTTTACCGCTTTCGAAAATTTTTCACCTATATATAGAAACGTCGCCATATACCGTTGAAGGGATTGAAATTTTGACCTTTGATCAACAATTACAATCTGCCACAGTTGAGGTTGAGTTGAGTTAAGTTGCGGTTGTAAACTTTTTATCTGAACTTCTGTACGTACATTCATATGTATATATTTACACTTTAAAATTACTTTGTGCAAAACAAAACTACAAATACCCTTACCGAAATACTCACCTTCTGGCAACATCTTCTGGCATTATTGCCGCAATATTGCAGCAACATTCTGGCAATACATTGCAGCAATATTGCGTCAACATCGTTTTCGTATGTAAATTAGATTTGCGGCAATATTGCCAGAAACGTGTTGCGGCAATATTGTAGCAACATTCTGGCAGTATATTGCAGCAATATTGTGGCAATATCGTTTTCCGTATGTAAATTAGATTTGCGGCAATATTGCCAGAAAGGTGTTGCGGCAATGTTGCTGCAAAGCAATTGCAGTACATGTATTATTTCAGGTTTTGCTGCAGCAATATTGGGGCAACACTGCAGTACTACCTATATAAATTGGTATTTAATAGAAAAAATTATCTATATCTATCAGTCTTACAATCAACAAATTGTGCTGAGGAACATAAAAATCAATAGCATAATAAGCTACAGAGTCAGTAAGAAATAGCTACTTAAGCTTAATGCTATTATTTGAAAAGATAGAAAAATTTTGTTGAAAAAAGATGTGTTTTTGAAACAAGCGGCAACAAAGTTTGAAAAACCATTATTAGCATATACTAGTAGGCCACAGTCAAAGCCACAAGGTCATTGATCTTGGTGTCATTTGAAAGAACTTAATTAGTGGGATATGCATCTTAAATATGAAGTCTCTATAATCTCTTATGGTTCAAAATTTATGGTAGAGGTTTAAAAAGGCTATTTTTAGCATATAGATCACAGCAGAGTTCACAAGTTCATTGACCTTGGTGTCATTTGAAAGAGCATAATTAGTGGAGAATGCATACCAAATATAAGGTTGCCATCTTTCATGGTTCAAAAGTTATGTCGAAGGTTCAAAAAATCTATTTTAAGCATATGGGTCACAGCCAAGGTTCTTGTCAAAGACCTTGGTGTCATTTTAAAGACCTAAATTAGTTGAGTATATGCATACTAAATATATAGTCTCTTTTTCTCATTGTTTTTAAATTATGGCGAATATTCAATAAAAAAAACTATTTTTAGCATATAGGTCACAGTCAAGGTCACAAGGTCATTGACCTTGGTGTCATTTGAAAGGACTTAATAAGTGGAGTATGCATACCAAATATGAAGTCTCTATCTCTCATTGGTTCAAAAGTTATCACTTATGGCGAAGGTTAAAGTTTACAAACAGACAGGACAAAAACAATATGCGCCCCCAATCTATCAATCTGGGCACATAAAAAATGTGTACATAAAAATATTAATATGCCACTTTGAAAATGTCCAGCAACTCTGCATCATATTTATCAAATAACCTAATTAATTAGCTGCCTATCACATATTCCCCAATGCCAATTAATCAGTATAATGTATAATATATAGCTTGTTTGTAATTTCCAAAATATATATATATGGCACATAAAATTCACAAAAATGAGATAATCATAGTTTCACAATCGATAAACTAGGTTTATCGGCTGTAAACTATAGTTTACGGACTGTAAACTATAGTTAACAAACGTGAATCTATGTTTATCAACAAAATCCATGGTTAATGCTTATTACAGACAGATAAACTTAGATTATATATATAGTTAACAACCGTCAAATATAGTTTTACAGATTATACTATAGTTAACGGTTTGTAAACTATAGTTTACAGTGATAAACCTAGTTTATCAATTGTGAAACTTTTATCTCATTTTTGTGAATTTGGCATATATATAGAATCATTATTTTCTTGCAGGTATTCAAATTTATGCAATAAATTAATTATATATGTTCATGCATTTAATTGATAACATGCATTCATCTTTTCCTGCAACAGTGGTATGATATATATAAGACATACAAGTATAGTATACATGCATCACAAGCACTAGTTGAAATACAGTACATATAATTTTTCTTATTTTATCTCCATAGAATCATTCATCTAAAAAAGAATATGCTTTTGACTTACCAAGTTTGATATATATATATATATGAAAACAGAGTTAGACATTCCTATAATTCTTTCAAAAGGCCATGCCATGGAAACTGTTGAAATTCTTTTTTTCTGGCTATTCCACATTATTCAGTCTTACAAGTCATCATGTCTAATTCTATTGTACACAATTAACAGCTCCAATTAACTTAATACCATTCAATAATGAAGAAAAACATGCTTGCCTTTGAATTCCCTCCATTTTATTTAAAAAGAGGAAGTAAATGACTGAGCATGCTCACAAATGCCTAAAAAGTAATCCTAGATCTTCTGGCGACATTCTGGCAAGACTGCCAGAAAGTTTTTTTTCTGGCAGTATTGCCAGAATGTCACCAGAAGTTGTTGCCGCTAGCGGTGATATTTCACTAACCCAAAAAGCTTGTTTCTGGTGACAAAAATGTGTTGCTGCAATGTTGCTGCAATATAGCGGCAATATTGCTGCAATAATTTTACTTTGGTAAGGGTAGTAAAATAGTTTTTTTCCACACGAATCTACTGGCTCATCGATAGGCGTGGTTAAAAAAAATCACGTGCGGGGCGGGACGGAAGGCTAAAGCAGATCTTGTAGCCCGTGAACTTGCGAATTTAAGGAATAACAACGTCGCGCACGTGTGCGAAGCTCCTGTTACCTATCTACATGCTTTTTTGAGGTAATTGATTGAATAGTCGAATTAATATATTTGATAATTGGAATTTTTTGATCAATATTTTTGTTAAAATGTATTTAGTATGTACAATTACCGACAGAAGGATATATAGTTTTCATACAGTGAATTGTTTTAAAATCATGGAAATAGCGCATATGCCGGCGTAATAGTAATTATTGACTTTTTGACACCAACACCGTGCGCGACGTCATTAGATTTTCATTACAAGATGATATGGGACTTTGAACGAAAAAAAGTAATTTAATGCTAAATCAGCAAAATATCTACAATCGTACAATTTACTGAAAACAAAGGACAGGTTCTAGGGCCTACTGATATGGATTTTTTTAAAATATATCTCAATAAAATAAAAGCATGTAAATTTAAAATACAATGTTGAACAAGTTTCGTTATTTCTATTAAGTTTTTTTTTAATAAGGCAAACCATGCTCATACTTTCCTCCCGCAATATGCATGCGGAAGGGTGCAGATAATTTAATGTCACGTGTTTTCAATTACCTGCATTATATAATTAGCGGCATTACTGGGTTTTTATTTATCCTCCATAAAAAATGTTAGCAAAAAAAAGTAACGTCAAATAAATTTTCTAGAACTTCACGTAAAATAGCGTTACCGAAACTGACACCAACACCGTGCGCAACGTCAAGTTCGTCATTTTTATGCCCCCGTAAACGAAGTTTCGGGGGTATATAGTTTGTGTCGTGTCCGTCTGTCTGTCTGTCTCTCTGTCTGTCTGTTTGTCTGTTTTCCGCAAAAACCTTGCCCATAACTTTTGGTTCAGTGGAGGCATGACTTTCATATTTCACATGTGTATTTCTTGTGTTAAGGCCTTTCTTTGGATACCACCAATTTAACCTTTTGACCTTGACCTTGGAGTTTGACCCACTTTTACATAAAAATGTTAAACTTTAACTTTGGCCATATCTTTTGAACAGTGGATACCAGGACATTTATACTTCACATACATGTATGTATTCTTTGTTGAAAGACTTTTCATTGGATACCAACAGCCTTGACCCTTTGTCCTTGACCTTGTAGATTTCTTTACCTGTGAAAAAACATTAACCTTGGCCATAACTTCTAAACGGTAAGGGACAGGGCTTTCATACTTCATATATGTAATCCTTGTGAGAAGACCCTTCATTGGATACCAAGCATTTTGACCTTGATCTTTGAGTTTGACCTACTTTAAAAAGGCAAACCGTGACCATAACTTTTAAAGGGTTGGGGCTAGTGCTTTCATACGTCACATAGTTAATCCTTGTGACAAGACCTTTCATTTGGTAACAAAAACTTTCACCCTCTGACCTTGACCTTGAAGTTTGACTTACTTTTTAAAAAATTTAACCTTGGCCATAACTTATGAACGGGGTTAGGGCTAGGACTTCCATACTCTTCATAAGTATTCTATGTGGCAAGACCTTTACTTGGATACCAATTACCTTGACCTTTTGACCTTGGAGTTTTTTGTACTTATTGAAAAACTTTAACTTTGGCCCACTTTCAAAATTCACAATGGTTTTCCAGTGAGAATATCCTACTTTTGGTACCAATAAATTAAATTTGAATTTAAGAAAAGGTTAATCCTTGCTATGTTGCCAAACGGGGGCATCAGTGTTTCATAAACTCATCTTGTTTTTTTTTTTTTTTTTGGTTTTATGACAATGCATGACCAGTCAGTTGGATTGCGTGATAATCATCGGCGTTTATGTAATTTATCAAGCAAGCCAATCGACTGATCACAACATGAAACCAAAAAAGAATTTCCTTAGATTACTAGAACTCTGATTTCATGACAGCAAGTTACAGGTAACATGTCTACAGATTTCATATAGTTGTAAAATAAATGAGGGATTCTAGGGACCAATATCTGTATAAAAAAAATATTTATCGACCCAAATTTACACCAAGGGTGAAAATAACAAAAATTTCATCTACAAACATCATGGAGAAGACAATGTAACTAAAGGACTTTCAATAAACAGGATGTTTTGTAGAGAATTAGCTTACTATACCTAAATTGTGTGAGAATAAAACAGGAAAGAGAGTGTAACAGACTTATGCTTTCTTTAGAAAAAAATGTACATATAAACGTAACATTAAGATGCCTTACTCTTCCACAATTGCTACTGCTGGTGGGTCATAAATATAGTTTACTTCAAAGTCACCGAGAGCGTTAGTACTCCGTTCACTCAGGATCTTCCCGATAATCATAGTCTCCAGAGCGGAAGACCTGTCAACAAGAGCCTTCACTACTTCCTCTTCTTGCAATGGCCTCTTGAATTAAAAGAAATCAAATATATCAAATTTTAGTAACCCTGCCTAAGAAATAAATAAAATAAAAACAAACAAATTCAAAGATTCGTGTTTCTCCGCTTTCGACGACGTCGTTGTTGGGATGTGATTATTATGAAACATTGGCGTCTGAAGGGAGTGGGTTAAGGGGTACGGTGAACAAGTGCCTGTGGTAGGGTGGGTCGAACTTCTTTCAGTATCAATTCTTTTCCAATCACTACCCTTTACCCCTTTATTGACCTAAACTGCAACGTTTCTGTGGAAAGTAGAGGGGCTTAACGTATACGTACGACCAAATTTTCATTGCCTATGTTATGTCTATCTTTGCAAAAAGAAGTGGGGGAGGGGAATAAGCTCCCCCCCCCGTTCCGACGCCTATGTGGAATATCGTCTTGCTTGTGTGTCCTGTCTTGTGCATCATTTAAAAAACTAAACATATACAGTTGTAGAATTTAAAAGTTATATGAGAAAGACTTCTAAAATGTTAAGCTACACCTACACAAAGATCAAGGACGTGGGGTCAAATATTATTATAAAATGTACATGTGAAAAAAAAAATGGCGATAGCTCTGTCTCTTATCGAATCAACTGAGAGAGACTTGAATGCGAATGCAGGTGATGAAGGTATATTGCTGTATATACTAAGGGAAGGGAACTGGACAATTGAAAAGTTAGTCATCTTGTTTGTCATATAGATTGGTTGTTATAGATGACCATGATTAATTCCATAATAAATCATGTATATATGTGAAACAGTTGTGTCAGACTCTGTGGTATCTTTTATCTCAAGCTCACCAGGATATATCGTATCGATTTGAGAATGGAAATAACCATTGTTAAATGACAATACATCGTCAATATATCTAAATTTGGAGTTGCAGCCACAAGAAGTGTTTTATTTTCTTTTCACGCATAAGAATTTGAGCAAATTCTACTTTTAATGAATACAAAAATAACGGGGCGTAATTGGTACCGATGAGAATTCCAAAAGATTGTTGGAAGACGTGACCTCCAAAACACATAGATATTGTCAATCAGAAACTCGGGCATCTTCTCGATATCAACTTCATACTACTTGTATATACAATTAGATTATTTTTTAACAAAATAATTTTGCAAATGACCAATGACAAGGTAAGTAAATTTGCGAGTTCCATTTTTATTGCAAAATAATGCAGCTATAAATGATATAAAAAAAGCCTGGACTTAAATTGTTGTACATCAAGTTGAAAAGTGGTGTTTATGTTGTTGATTTTGATCAAATGTTGTGACTTCAAATGTTCCACAAGTTCCTTCGAATTTTTAAGTATCCACATCTGATTTACACCACTTCTCAAATATACTGTTGCACAGTATTCTAAAAGTCTCTCCTTCAATTCTGTTAATATAATAGTGAGGAGTAAAGAAACAACCTTGGTAGAACATTTACAGGAACCCGTTATGTATCTGTGTTTGTAAGGATATTAATGAAGTTAAAGGTGCCATGTTCTAAATTTTGAATTTACCGGGTGGGAGTACTAAATTTTGTGTATTTACTCCCACCCGGTAAATCAAAATTTAGAACATGACAGAAGGTCATAATAGAAAATAGCTCTTCAGAGCTAATGTTATTTGTTGATGTACCCGACCTTAATTAAATATTATCTTATCTTATGCGACTACATGGAATTAAAAATATGCGCAAAGTCACGCGCACTCGAATTAGTCCAAAATTCTCGGAAATGCATATACCTCACATTTTATTATGGTAGTTTTGTTACTTCATGTTTATTTGTAAATACATTGGTCAGTACCTTATCCTTTGGGGGTATTCCATTCATTTTTGTTGGATAGTTCGGGGGAAATCCATAGGTATCGTACTGTGGAAAGTTGAGAGCAGCATGTACTACACTACAGGTGTAAATAACGGAAGTAAACACAAGTATCAAGTCCTCTGCTGAACTGAACTTCCCGTCTTTGAATGGAACGCCCTAATATATATAAAGAAAACTAGGGTTTGTTTCATTGAAAGAAATTGAAACTGGGTACCTAAAGGATTTTAAGGTAACACCGAATCATTTTTTTATCATAGCTGGGTAATCATAGGAACATAACTTCAACAATTAAAATTAACAAGAGGCCCACGGACCTAATAGGTCGACTGAGTTTCATGTAACAACTTCACAGCAATTAAATTTGGTTCGTGCTTTAATTCAGAGGCCACGGAATTCACAATTTTGAAAGAGGCACCATTGCTTATCCGCTGCATTACATTTCCGGAAATATGCATAGCACTTCCGACATTTTTTTAATTTCATTTCCGACATTTTTTGTTTTCATTTCCGACATAATTTCTTTTTCATTTCCGGAATTTACTTGTGCGGCAATTCAATGTTTTCTAAGTAAAAGAAAATGGAATTTTAAAAGTATTAATACTAAAATATTAATAATTTAGGGAAAAAAAACATCTAGTATACATGTGTGCATACATGTAGCACTAAGTCTAGGTAAAAGAGTTCAATGAGCATTAAACTTTTTCACTACATTTAATGTGCACTAAATTAAATGTCAGTGACAGCACCATACTTATGTCCAAGTCACTAATATATTTACGAAATTGGATTTCAATGATATATTTATGATTTTACGGAGACAGCCGAGGGTCTGGTTGAACGAGACTAACTACATTGCCCTTATTTGAAATGCATTTCCACTTTATAACCAGTTGTGCACCGCACCACACAGGAACCACTAAACCCGAAGTCACGTATTTCAAAATTCTGGAAATTTTAATATAAATTTGATTTCATTATTTATGGTTAATACCAAAGAGCAGATTTCAAAGCATTGATTTATTTTAAGACAATATACCTCCCCATACCTCTGATCCAGGGGCCTTGAAATTAAGCAAGGTGAAAGAGGTGCCTTTCTTCATCATAAATATGTACCAAGATCATTGGCATAATACCCATGAGCAAAGGGAAAAAATAAAAAAAATTCATGCATTTTCACAATATAATCATATATCCACCTAACACCAGAACCCTTGACATAAGGACTATGGAATTCATAAATTTGGAAAAGGCATCCTTCCTCATCAAAATTTTATACATAGTGAGTTCATTTAATATCAATGTACCAGGATCATGAAACAGTCTTAGACTTAAGTAACGTTTTACTAATTCTAGTAAAACATGAATATTTTGACTTAAGCATAAGATGTTTCGTGATCCTGGGGTCAGGAGCAAAGACTTAAAGATTTTTCAAGAATTTATATCAATAGACATATATAACTTATAATATAATATAACACTAGAACCACTTGCCCTGGGGTCATGAAATTCACAATTTTGGCAGAGGCACCCTTATTCAAAGTAACCGTCTACTTGGTTAGCTTATTCTATACACAGGAGGAGAGAAGAGAAGATTTTTAAATAATTAATGTATTTTCACTATATAATCAATAGAGCTAACACCATAACCCGATTCAAGGGGCCATGAAATTCACAAATTTGGAAGAGGCATTCTTGCTCATTATATAAACCTGGTTAGTTTATTTAATATCCAGGAGCAGAGAAGATTTTCAAAGAATTCATGCACATTAACTATATAACCAAAAGAGCACCGCTTTAACACTAGAGCCCTTGATCCTGGGACCATGAAATTCACAATTTTGGAAGAGGCAGTCTTATTCATTATAACAACGTACTTGGTTAGTTTATTTAAAAAGTCCGAGCAAAGAAGGCGATTTTCAAAGAACTCATGCATTTCACTAAATAACCTATAAAGCCCCGCCCTAGTACTAGAACCCCTACTTATAAATTTCACAATTTTAGAAGAGGACTCAATGCTATTACAAACATGCTAACAGTTTGACTTATTTAATGAAGAAAATTGCATTGATTTAAGTGGTTTTTGCATCACCCCTCAGGCCCAAGGGGTGCAGGGACCTTGAATTTCATAATTTTTGTTCCCCTAGACGTATAGATGGTTTATAACAAAATTGGTTGAGTGGTTGCAGAGTAGAAGCTGAAAATGTTTAAGTATTAACGCACGACGGACGACGACAGACAAAAACAGATAACAATAGGTCACTTTAGTGAACTCAGTACCCGTGAATATGAAGTTTACAAGTCTGATAGAAAACACCCTCTATAACTTTTTATAATAGTTGTACATATTTTGCCTGTTAAGTACATTGTACATGTACCCAGGAACAGAGAAAGCATTTACTAAAGATTAAAATTCGGTCTTCCTATATAGTCAGAAGAGTCTCACTCACGAGATCCCCCGAGGCTTAGCCATGCATTAAAAACTTTTGGTGGGGTCACCATGCGCATCGTTACCATGTAAATATTGACTGCTTATAAGCAGTTGCAGAGAGGATTCAAAATAATATATTAAATTTTACACTGCACATGTTTAATACATGTATAATATATAGAATAACCCTCCTTTCTATCTTAACCCATTGGGCCCTGATTTTCACAGTTTTGGTAGAGGAATCATTACTTATCATTTACTTAGTTTGTTCACTAATTAGACCCTGATGCAAAAATGATTGCAGAAAGAAATACATGTCCAATGTTTTATTTTAGCAATGACGCACTAAACCGTACAATAGAAACTCTGAAATGAGGCCATGAATTTCTCAATTTAGTTGATTTTTATGGTCTTTATACAGAAGAACCGGAAAATGTGCACACGATGCACAACGCCATGCCAGCAATCTGATGTTGTTGGGTTTTTTTCAGATAATAAGGAGAGTTCAATTTTCGCAGACACCATATAACACGATTAACCCAAAGATGTGCAATGTTATCAAATATATTATATTTCACATTTGAGAAACGTTTTTCATAATAATAGCTAAATCTGATTGAAAACAATAGCATTGTTACCAAAATTCCGCAGCATTCTTCACACTTTGGCATTGTTAATTCACGTCCAAAGTTTTGAATTTCAGCATCGTTGTTAATTTTATCAGGTGTGTCTGTTGTATAAAATAAAACTTACATTACAAATAAAGGAATACATATGACTCAAAATTAAGTTACAAATAAAAAAGTGTGATATCTACGAGTATGTTTCTGTTTCTTAACTTCGAATCTCAGTCAATTGTTTTGTCTTTTGTTTGATCTAAATATTATCGTAAAATTTATTTTTAAAACCAGATAAAGGAATACGCACCGTAGTAGAGATGGACATATTTGGTGACGTAATTTCGAATAGCCTCAAACAATTCAAGAGTATCGTCACGCTGATAGAATGTTGGTAGAATTTTTCCATCCTTGCAATATAACTGTCAAAGTATGTTTCAAACGAAAGAACTTTAACATTTCAATGCGTAAAACAGATTAAATTTAATTTATCTTAGGTATATAAAATTCTATGTGAATTCCCTTAGGCACAATTCCATCGATATCTATGACAGGTGCGTGAACATGCTCATTTTTACCTGTCAGTCGTACAAATACACGACATATTGAGATAACGTTAGCGCGACATTATTACAGTGTACATTTAAAATACGTGATATTGACTTTATTTGTGTAATAGGTGATGCCTTTATAAAATTCCAGTTTAAGGATATCCGATCCTCAGCCAGGAAGGATTCCAAAAATTAATATTTAATTTGAAATGCATCAAAATAAAGCTTGAAAATGAATTTTTTTTCATGCAACAATTTTCATTTTATTTATCTTTATAAGATTCAAGGTTTTAGGAAGTCTTAGAAAAGGTCTTATAAAAGTTGACATTTGTACCCTATAAAAGAAAAAAAAATTGATACAGTTTGAGAGAAATAAGATTTTCTTGAATCCAGCCTTAGATACCAATGCTTATTAGCATGATATGAAATAAAAATCGATTTGTGGTGTCTTGCAATGATAGCAAAAGCCTTTTACACTATGTATTATAGAATACATGCAAGCAATTTGTGGTCCCCCGCTTTCGGTGTCTTTGTTGGTGAGATTTTTTTTTTTATGACATATTGTGTCTTGTCATATGTCATTTCTTAGAAATTATCATTGCAACAAAAAGTTATTCAAAGTTATCAAGATCAATAACAAGGATTACATATGTGAAGTTTTACCGTTCAAAAGATGTGGTCAAGGTTAAAGTTTTTACATAGTAAAAGGTTAAAAGTTGTTGATAAAATTGCCACAAAGAATACATATGTTTACCAAAGAAAGTTTTTTTTAAAGTAGTTAAAACTCCAATGTCAAGGACAAAGGGTAAAAGTTGTTGGTATCCAATGAAAGGTCTTCTCAAAAAGATAACATATGTGAAGTTAGCAAAAAGTTATAGTCAAGGTTAAAGTTTTTTCAGATGTAAATCAATGTCAAAAAAGGTTTTTGGTATCCAATGCCTTAAGTGAAATAAAAAGTCTATGTTGTGACCAATTTAAAGTTTTTAAAAAGTAGTTAAAACCCCAAGGTCAAGGTCAAAGGGTAAAAGTACTTGGTATCCAGTAAAAGGTCTTCTACAAGGATTACATGATGTTGAAATTTTTTAATCAAGGTCAAAAGGTCAGGGTTGTTGGTATCCAATGAAAGGTCTTGCCACAAACAATACATTTGTGAAATATTCAAAAGTTATGGCTTTTTGAAATTTATGCAATGATAGAAAAGGTCAAAAGGTCAAATTTGGTGGTACCCAAAGAAAGGTCTTGTCATATGTGAAATTCGCTCTACTTTTATGGGCAAGGTTAAATTTTTGAACACAGAAAAATAAAGCGGGGGACAAAAAATACCAAATAAGTATAAAAACTATGACAATTTCTCTAAATGCCTTGATACCTATCATTTTTTAACCAGAAATATATTTGTTGATCAATTTGCAATTAGAAAATTCTGATATCCCAATTCGCTTTTTCTGCAAAAATAGTGGAAATTTGACAATTTTCCCTATATAATATGATTAACTGTAATTTTTAACTTTAAAGAAATACTGTGGATAAATTTACATAACTTTATGGATTCAGAGATACTTTTATGAGTATATTTGATTACTTAACTGCTAATATTATAAACCTGAGGATCGGACTACCTTAATACTATTTGGAAATTTTATAATAGATTTTTTTATATTTCAAAATTTAAGGAAAAATGTATGAAAAAATTAAACTTTGGAAAAATTGTCTTCATTACGTTGGCATATTGTAGAGGACCCATGTAATGGAGTTTGGTTTATTGGAACGAATGACACTGCAGTTTTATGTGGCACCTCCACAGGCACTTGTTTCGGAAATAAATTTTTAACCTATAGTATAATAATAACACAGCTATTGTTATACTACAGGTTAAAAATTTATTTCCGAAACAAGTGCCTGTGGGCACCTCTAAATAGAACGTGTATCACGCTAATGTATTAACTGCATCTTTTTATAAATATCAGTAAAACAACTTTTATGTTTATTACTCTGTGTAGCAAACAATAAAAAATTTAAAATATAATTTGAATAGAAAAGTGGGATGCTTATGGTGACGGAGATTGGGTACTCCGGATATTGACCATTTCTGAATTGTGCGAAAATATACTTGAAAATTAGAAAAATGACTGAAAGAATTTGGCACGGATATTCTGCTGCAAATTTGCCAAAATCGTGTTAAAATGTCATTTAATAAGGTCAAAAATACTCCTAAAAACAAAAGAAGAAAGAGTAATGATGTTACAAACCCCTCTTTCTTTCAAAAATTCTGGATAGGTTCCTTCTATATCCATTCTCCAAGAGCTTGTCCTAAACGAATTAAATTTTATTTAAAATTAGTTACATTTTAAATGAACGAAAAAGTAAAACAAGATGATCTTTACAGCCACCTAGATTTTTGACAGATATACAGAATTAAAAAGAAATATAAACTAAATATGTAGTTCATACGGAAGTCTAAAAGTGCAAACCAGAAATAAATATAGAAAAACGAAATTATTAAATAATTTTGTTTTTTCTTTATTTAATAATTTCGCTTTTCTTTATTAAATAATTTCGTTTCTCTTTATTCAATGGTTTCATTTTTCTTTATTTAATAATTTCGTTTTTTTTTATTAAGGGCATACGCAACGTACATCACCTACTGATACTTTTTCAAGATATTCTAAATTTAAACTTACAATACCATTACATTTGCTCAGACAAAAAATGAGCGTGCATTACCAGGGGTTTTGAAAAAGATATCAAATTGTGAACATTTTTGCATTATTCAAAGAAAAATGTACAAAAATTACAAAGCATAAGTTACAGATTTTTTTTTTCATCAAATTTGTTTTAGAAGAGGTATACAAATCCATATATAAACATTAAAAGTATTGCACAGGGGTCCTTCATTTAGTGGAACTCTTCAATTCCAAGAAAGAACCCAATAAGCTCAAACTACATTGCGTATGACCTTAATAATTTCGTTTTTCTTTATTTCATAATTTCATTTTTCTTCTTTTTTTTTTTATTTTGGGTCTGCACTATTGTGCTTCTGTAGTTTTCAGTTAGGAAAATCCTAAAATTCTACAAAATGATTTTGATGTAGTTTCATTCATATAAAATTTTACACGTTTATATAAAAATACAAACAGCAGCTAGCACCAAGGCATTTTAAATTGTGCAAAATAAATATCAGTCAACTATTGAAGTTCATAGTCGTTAAAGGCACATGGACACAGTTTCAACAGATTTCTTTAAAACAAATATTACTGTTTACAATACCTAAATAAGTCAATCTTAATGACCAGCAAACATTTTAACATCATTTGTTGATTTACATGGGAATGATATATAACTTAAAATTAATATTCTTCATAAAGTAAAACAAGGCTTGTGCCTTCTTTTTCTTTATATACACATAAAAAACATCATATTTATTAAAAAAAACGAGATTCAACAAATCACTAGAAAGTATCTAATCATATGTATTTACATGATATAACTTAAAATTAATTTCTAATTTTCTATATTTAAAAAAAATGCTATAAATGAATATAAATTAGTATATTTTTAAAACCTATGTATACAGTAACATGACGCGTTTCCAGATTATATAACATCCCAGCTTATTCGATACTTAAGAGGTTAAGCCGATGTTTTTCATACCAATTGTAGGGCAGTTATTTCTACACAGACACAAATTGCAATAGATCAATTAATGAGTTCATCTGCGAGACTCATTAATTTCACAAGTGAATTCAGCGTAAATAAAACATGTACTATATTTTTTCTCTCTAGAAGTAGATATTTGCGGGGAACATAAAAAAAACAATCCATTATAAACTCACCCTTTTGCAATTAGTTCAAGAATACCTTTGAATCCCACCACCATTGTTTTATCAATAAATCCTCCAGGTGATAAAAGTGTGTCAAGACCGAGGCTGATAATGTCCAAAATGAAAAATAAAAGAATGTTACATAGTTATTTTACGCTTGCGTTAAACCTTGTAAGAACAATATTGATTAAATCGTTGTACCTTTCAAAAAGCTTTCACGCGCCAGTAAGAGAAAGGTAGACAGTTTGGAAATATTGAAATACATTGTTAAGATTAATTTATATAGTTCTTGCTTTCGGAGATTTCTACGTAACTATATAACTTTTTATATATTAACCTTTATAATACATACTCATTGATGGCAATAATATAGAGAAGATGTGGCGCCAACAGTTTAAACATGGGATGGGAAGGAGACAGAGATCGATTGGCTGCTATACACACGCCTTCCATTGCTAGATGTGTGAAACCTAAATAAAGGTAATTGTATTGAATATCATCTACTTATATTTGACATCTCGCTAACCTATTCTATATGCACATAGCATTTTGTTCTTCATTCTTTTTACAGAAATATTAAGTAGACTTGCCTGTTTTATGACACTTTACCTTTGTTGATTTTTTTAATTTGTTAATTAAATCAAGGAAGACTTTTTTATATCAAAATTACATCTCAACTGGTATTGAATAAAAAAAAAACTTGAATCGATTACCACTTTTAATTCTGTTGACTTTCTTTTTCGAGTTTGTTAATAGTTAGAATACTTAATTATGACAAACCTGACAAAAAGGTATAAAAAAAATTGCTACAATTTTTCATTTAAAATTATGAACATTCTGTTTTGCAACAAAGAAGGTGGTTGCGACTACATGTGTATAGTACTAAATGTACTTAGAGTGACAGATATATTATGCTTTCCTTAAAATATTTCCCATTGTTTTACCTTTATAAAGAGCTTTCTATATATTAATTACGTATAAAAAGTCCAATAAAAGAAATGTTTATTATCCAACAATTTCACTATTGACCGACCTGCCGGTCTAACATAAGAATTGTTAAACCGCAAAGTCACTGCTACGTCACAAATAATTAATCATCGTTCATTATCGGCGACACGGAAATAGCCGAAGTTAAGAGCTGCAAGAGTTGTTGCTACTCGCAAGGTAAGGAAGAAGGGAAGAGTATGTTTTGTGATTAATAATTTTTGTGATATAATAGATATAAAATTGATTTTATTTATTCACATGTTGTTTTATATTTACTGATTTAGCCATAATTTTCCATATAAGCTAATTGATAATATAGCGTGTATTTATTAAATCATTAGTGAGCAGTGAAGGGTATAACAAAACAGTTATAGACTGGGATTCGGGCAACATATGATTTGTTGGATTGTTGTTAGATTGTTGGCCTGCGGCCTCGGGCAACATTTACACCTTCAGGTCCAACAAATCATATGTTGCCCTCATACCCACTCAATAACTGTATAATATTCTACCTAGATGAGCTATTCCTTGGTGATAATTTGAGTCCCCTACGTTGTACCACATTTTGGCCATCAACCATGTATAAGGTGGATCACTGGGCAGAAACACCTGAAATATATAGTAGGTCATACTTCAATCATTCAGTGGACGATCTTACAGTAAAGACTCAATAACCTTTACTCTCAATACGATTTCTTTTAGAAGTTTCATCAAGACGTTGTTCTTACTGGATTATCTGATCCTTTTTGTTGAAAAAGTTGTATCGCAACTGGCAAAAGTTGATTTTTACTGTTAACGAAGAAAAGGGCGATGGGAGTCGGACACTGTAATTTTCAGAAAAAGAGCTAAGAGAACATTTTATCAAATATATAGTCATCTTTAAAGCTGTTATTACTAACTACTATTTAGTGGATGCATCAAAAGAAATGTTGGGTGAATCACACGCATAACAAATATCGCGTGTTTATTTATTTTCGCGGTATGTATTATATTTAATAGCCTATTACACTCGACCACAGTACTAAATCTAGTGTATAAACACAAATATGCGACTTACAACATAACCATCGACTACAGAAATTCCATCCAGTATTTCTAGATCAATGATAAACAGTCGTTTGTCAGTGATGGCTTGGGATAAACTCAATCCACCTAGAAAAGGTTTGATCATTTCCTCGGTCACCCCAAACCTGAAGGAAATGAAGTTCAAATTGTAAGAATACCATTTTTTTTATCACTGAATAAAATTGGAAACGTGATTGTTGTTTTTGTTGACATACATAATAGTGACATGCATTTTATTTCTTAAATATGATAATCGATGTATTAATTAAGTCTGAAGATAAGCATTAATTATGGCCCCTACTTGTCTGGTATATGTGTACAGAGCCGAATCAGATTGGGATTGACACTGTTTAATCGTTGCCATCCAAAACTTAGATCGCTCTCCCAATCCTTCATCCCCTAATGATTTAAAGTATGTTGAAAGATTTTTGTAGTACGATTGATAAACGATTCAGAAGATTTTCACTATTGGCAATATTTAAGTATCATACTTTACACTATCCAGTTTTAAACTATTAAAATCCCATGAAGAAATTTCTTTAAGTTTTACACTTTAAAAGACAATAAGAACGATAAGATTAATGTATCTATAGCAATGCTTTAAATAAAATAATACAACAGAAATATGTTACCTTCGGCTCTCCAAATGTTTTTGAGTAGACACTTGTTAAGTCGTCTAAAGTTTTCCATGATCCATCTCCAAAAATCATCTGCAATGTTGTACAAGCCTTCAGACCGACATATCTTCGTTTCAGGTCAAACTGATAATGTAAAAGGGCTTTTATAAATTAAAATTACCCCACGTCATTTTCTTCTTTTTTTTCTATATAGCAAAATATAGAAAAAAAGAAGAAGCCCTTGTCTCCACTATTGACATTATTTACTAATTTTGAATTATCGCTTAAGTGAAATGTATAGAGATAAAAAAAAATTTTCAAGCTCAAAAGGCCATTAAGCAATATAAAATAAAAATAGACCAAGCACAGCCCTCCAAAACCTTAGAGATTGGATCAGGTGCCATGGAGGAGTTTCTCCCAAGATACGTATAACCGATCAATACACAAGTTCCAATAAATTATTTGATGGCCATAAAAATATTTAAATTATTTGATAATGGACCCTCTTACACCTTTAAGACTTTGAACAAAATTGTACAGCCTTAAAATTATCTAGTTCATGTTCGTTTTTTTTTTTTTGTGTGTACCCACGAATATAATGGCCTATAAATTAGTATGAAATTAGTATCACTAAGCAGCATTTGACATAATGAGAAATTGTGTTTACTGACAGGGTAATTGTATCAACCATAGAACTAAAGAAATGATTACTTTAAACTAGAATGTTGATATTTTTTTATTTACTTATTTATTTGTCAATAATTGACATCGTTTTAAAAATGTCCACAAATGGACCATGTTCTTGCCTATCAAATCAAGTGAAACGTGTACATGTAAAAGATTGTATTGCTACATAAGTAAGGTGTATTTACATATGAATAGAAATAACCACTGTTAATCAACAACACTTTGTTAATTGTCGAGTTGAAGGCAACAACAAATGTTTTCTTATTTTCACGTACCTTATTTTAATCAAATTCCGCTTTATATGAATACAAAATTAGGTATGCTATTAACGGACGCAATTGTTACTCGTGGGAATTTCAAATAGATAGTTGGAAATCCTAATCTCCTTAATATTTTTTGGGTTCAATTCTGTAATTTCATTTTTTTTTCAGAAGTTCCTCTTACTATCCACATCTGATTTTAACCACTTCTCCTATATATTGTTGCACTGTACGTACTTTTGAAGTTTCTCCTTGATTACTCTTGATATTTCAGCGAGGAGTATGGTAGAAATTTACTGAAACCCGCTATAAATTTTGTTATACGTATCAACAATTTCTAAAACGAGGTAAATTATTGACAAGCAAATTGATGAAAACAAAAATATCATTAGTCTCGTTTAAAGTCATCATTTCATAAGTTTTTTTTGGTTGATACAATGATCTTGTGAGTAAGGACAATTTATCACTGAGTCAAATGCTGACTGACGTTCTTCATATAAATGCTGACTGACGTTTTTCATATGAATTGTTAGTCCATTATTAATACAATGCTTTGACGAAGGTTTTTTTTCCGTTATTTCCCGATCATTTACCCTATACCCTCTTCTAACATTTGTGTTGTTCATAGATTTTTAAGATCAATAACTATTTAGTTCATCTTTATGAATCAAGAAAATATACCATTGCAAAAAAATGGTTAAAGTATAATTGTTTGATCATATCCAGAGATTGCAAATTAATAAAAAAAAAATGTATTAAAAAGATACACATGTACCATTGTAGAAAAGGGTGAACGTATAATTGTTTGGACATCTACAGAGATTGCAAAGTTAGAAATTGGGCACCTACCTCATGACAAAAAGAAAACTCTTCATCCTCAGGAACATTTTTAACCTACGATGAAATAAGTCAACAAAGACAATAAATATATTCTACTTCAGAATAAATTTTATATATATATATATATATATATATATATATATATATATATATATATATATATATATATATATATATATATATATATATATATATATAATTACGACAGGTTTACATCTGTACCTGCATGGGTAATCCTGGGGCTTTCTCCTCAAATTGGTACAGCTTCCTTTTCTCATCCAACTCAGCACTGCGCTGTTGCGGCCGAGAATCAAACTGTGGCAGAGAGACATCATATCGTCCAACATAGAGGTCAACGCAAGGGCGAATCCACCGAAGTATTGGGAAAACACTAGTATTTCTGCTCCTCTGATTGGTTACTTCAATTTTTTCAATGAACCAATCGCAGAACATGCCCGCTTTGTCTCTTCGCAACCTGATCTCATTTACTTCAGGAATATCTGTAATATCTTGTATGGTAAAGCAATCGGTCTTGCATCGTTCAAAGTCATCTCTAAACCAACAATCAAGATTGGCCGACTTTGTTTGCTTCCCACAGCTCCCCAGTAGAACAATATCTATGTTGGCATCTGTACCCGCACCCAGTTTATCCCCTGTCTTCACTTGAATTTCGTAGCTTGTCATTGCAGATATTACTTGAGTTGATTACTGGTGAAGTAATGAAATACAGTAGTTATAAGATGATAAAGGACGTCGTTTTTATGTTTCGTATTTGAACTTTGCACACCATCACCATCTGACCACTGACCCGGATATTTATTATATCCTTGTATGTTACATGTAGGAAACAAGCCAGGGACGGTTGAATTGTCTATTTACAAGTTTACTTGGCTTATGCAATTTTATTTGGCATTTTCTATAAATCTATAATTCATTTGTTAAACATGGCACCCTACTCTGCCTACACATATGAAATGGAATCGGGTAAAAATTGCATATGGACCATTCAAATACATAGTGTACATGTAATCTAATTATGGTTGGAACGTGTCATTTGATTGGATTTTTAAAAAAACCAAGCTATATGTCACATGTATAACCCATGTTGCCAAATACACGATGACTTTCGTAAAAAAGGATCAATTAGCTTAACCTTACATTTTATATACGTACAATTTGAAGGTATTTCGAAGGATGCATTGTCTTATTTTCTAAACTTAAGGGGGCCGACTAGGTTTAGAGCTTTCTCGACTCCTTCATAAAAGAGCGTTAGTAAGTTTTTAAAACGATTTTTTAAACGATAGCTAGATTGACGTCGAAAAAATATGTTTGTAAGGTTAGGATAAACTAAAGTTCTTATGGATGGGATAACAAAATGTTATAAAAGCCAAAGTGTACAATATAAGGTCTTGAAAATGTATACACAGAAATTCGACAAGCTTACAACCTTGTAATTTTTTGTATAACTCCTTTGTATCTGTCATATTTGTAGTATTCCTTAAAAACAGTAAAATTTCGTTTGGGCATTTTGAGATGTCTATTCTAGAAACTAAATGATTAGAACATACAATGTACAAAATACCATTACTCATAACATTTTCTAATATGAGCAAAACATCAATTGTAACTTTAGTATAATGTGCTTTGAAGAGCAAAAAATTAGCATTTCCCCATATATTTATCAAGTAGCTACACCTGTTTTTGAGACAGTCCCTGGAAAAACCTTTCACTTAACTTGGCATGTACACTGAAGTCAATGTAAGTTACATACGGTATAAAATTAAAGAGTTTCTCTACTGTAGTTTTGACTCAGTGAGAATCCTAGTTGGCTCCGTTAATGATGGAAAATGAAATCATAAGGAATTATATATCTATGAAACTACCCAGTTGTACAGCACTTGCCAAACAAGAAAGACACGAGAAAATTTAAATACGAACTGCACAAACTGTATGAGTTTTTTTTTTTACAAAGCAAGATTTTGCTTCTTTTCAAATAGTTTTCTTGGGAAAAGTGGGTGCTTTCCTGAAATAAAAACCGATCTATTCAAAATAAATATGTTTGGTTATTTGTACTGATATATAAGAAGGAAAAGTATTCTAAAGCTAGTAAATGTTTGGTGTATTTGCCATGGCTATTTTGTTCTTTGTAGTACCACTGTGATATCAGATAAATTGATGAAAACAAACTATAGATTTTAAAAAAGAAATCAAAGAATCTTGAACATAATAAAGTATTCAACATATTTTGTTGTTTCATCGTCAAATAATATAAGTGAACAAGGCGAGGACGATGCCAATGTGTCGAGGGACGAATTAGAAAGTGGAAATTGGATTTTAGTTGTCAAAATCCATCTTTGATGTATTTCATCTTACATATAGTTACATATTAAATTTAATATAACCTCTCTCAATATACAGAAATCTCAGAGACTAAAATTTCTTGTCTATGCCATTAAATACGTAGGCAATGGAGATATCGTAAATAAATTTCAGCATAAAGTTTTTCACTTCTTAATGTATACAATGAATACGTCATTTCTAATACATCTGAAGCTATGAACATTCTGCATGCCATGTTAACACATCTCATTTCTGAAAATGTATGTATTTCATAAATAATTTCTACAAGTATTTACATTCATCAAAACATTATTAATCAATTTATTTT